ATGTCCAGTAAATTTTATTTGTACATTCTATTTTATTTATTTTACTGTAGATGTTTTACTAAGAAAAATAAAATATAGCAACTACTACTCATTAACAGCCTCAGTGGTCTAGCGGATTAGCATACGGCCTTACTCCCGAATGTCGGTTTCGGGTTCGATTCCTCGCACAGTTCAAACATTTGTATTCATGGGTATGATTGTTGGTATTGCTGTACAGTACACTCCTTGTGTTAAGGATTTGTAATATTGACACAAGCTCTGCTTAGCTCGATACTATATGTCACTTTGTGAATTTTCCTGAGTTGGTGTAACTGTAGGCCTGATACTGAACTGAGGCCAATAGAGATCATTGCCAACACGTGAATGCATGAAATGCGTCATGAAGGTAGCTAAATGAATTTTAGATGTTAGTGCATAAGAATAAAGTACCTACTTGACACTCGGATCATTCTGTCTAGCCCTGATATCCTGTAGTCTCTGGATTGAAGGTAGATAGTGTATGGCTATTATTCTAATACAATTGATAATACTGTCAATATATCATTGTATGATATTAATAATAATCAGAATTAATTCTGATTATTTTTAACCTACTGTAAAATGGTTTTCATATTGACCTGACCACATTTTCGTAATAGGTATGCTACGCCTCGTATTTCTCTTTGCGAGATTATCAATCATACAATATATACGTTTACAAAATATAAATTATAAACCAAAACTTGTCTCCCATTAATAAAACTCTTGGTTTTTTTTCTGAGGTACTGAACATTATCAACAAATGTGTCAATATCAGAAAACAAACAAACAATAAGCAGACATGTTTTAGTACTTTCTAATGCTTGATTTCATCCTTAAAATTGTATATATAATAAAATACGTATATTAAATAGGTAATTTAAAAGACAATCACAAACGTAATATGTTCATTTAACGCTAGCTATACTACAGTAGGTAGCTACATTTACAAAAAGGCAATTATAAATGAATCTCAACAAAAAATTAAAGGTTGACAAACTTTCGGCGAAGACACGGATCGAATAGGAAATGTGGGAACGCTGTATAGGCTCGCAGTATTGTTGTTAAGCATTCATATGGCACCCGCTTACCCATTGCCGGGACATCCGCTGTTACTTCCGCTGCCAAAGATGGAGGATCTTCGAGCGACTAGTTCGTTGACAGTATTATCGACCTCCCCGGTGCCAAAACATAGCGACTCTATTTGTTTTTTGCTATTAAAATGTACGGTAATCATACACTGTGTCTGAATGGTAGAACGATCGAATACACGGCCGGAGAGGCCGGTGAGTCGCGTAAACTTACGTTTAGCGCGTCTTCAGAGCTATTTTTGATGCAAAAGCGCGTAGGGACGCCAATGTCTAGAGCATGCCTGGAATATGCAATGTCGTCAGCCTTCGTGTTCGCGGTGATCGAAACGATTTCCCACTTCTTATCTGACATTGTGTTCTCATAGGCATTTGTTACAGAATGACTACATGTAACAAATAAACTGAGTTTATATACCTATGTACGTCCTCTGTTTTGTCATGATTATACGCAGCCATAATTACTTGCAGGCTAGTTTTTATTAGCGGCTTTGTTCACATGATCGAGACAATATTTAAGTATTTTTCCAAATACTGCACGTTTGCAAAAATGTTTGACAATTGGTTGAAACGTTTAGCCGTTTACAGCCAAGAAAAAAAAAATAAAGAAACTCTCATGCATGTAATATGTAAATATTAATAAGTAGGTACACCTATAAGTAAGTACAACAACAAATTCAGAAAATATAAATGCTATTGATAAATTACTATAAATTGTATAAATATGATAGAATTATAGACGTTTCTAGATTTCAATTGGTTGTTAGTTATTATCTATAAGAAAATACTTAGTAGGTACTAGCGGCCTAATTAGTATCCGCGCTTTCCTTTTATACATGTCCTCATGATTATCTTATCTTCTCGTCAATTCAAAATTAATTAAGTTAAGCCATCCTATGATCTAGTGATTTAGCACGTCGGCTTTCTTCCGATGGTGGCGGGTTCCATTTCTCACACAATTCAAGCATTTATATTCATGAGTATGATTGTTTTTCATCGACTCGATATTTTCTATGTATATTTTTACCGTCTGCGCTAATGTTTATGCTGGCGGGGATGGAGGATTGGATGGGGACGGGGATTCACCAATGGAGGACGATAAAATAAGCCTGAAGTCAAGTTACTATACTTAGCCCATCTTGGCAAATAGCAATTTATCACGATGTTTTCCAGAGAGAAGCAAGTGGAGGTCAACCGGACGTAGTACATTGCTAGCAATAGGATTATTTGTCCATCTTGCTAACAATCCCCTTCCTTCTATGTACCCACTTATATTAGAAATGCATTTACAAAAAAAATTGTCACACGGTACAAACATTTGTATTTATGAGTATGATTGTTTATATCAGTCTAGCTGTTATGTATATGTATATATTATGTCTGTATTTACAAAAAAATTTATCTAAGTATTTATGTCAGTTGTTTAGCACCTACAACCACAAGCTCTGCTTAGTTTGGGAATAGATGGCGTTGTGTAAATTGTCCAAGATTAATATTATTATAATTAAACAGACGATGATGACGATGGGTGAATTTTAAATTTTACTTACAATTCGTTTGCGTATGTGTGACGCCCTCGGTTTACGTCCGATGGTTGCGGGTTCGATTCCTCGCACGGCACAAACATTTGTATTCATGAGTATGTATGTATGATTATTCGTATCGGTCTGGGTGTTTTCTATGTATAATATGTATTTTTATTTACGAAAAAAATATCTAAGCATTTGTATCAGTTATCTAGTGCCCATAACACAAGCTTTAACTAGCTTAATTTGAGTATAGATGGCGCTGTGGGAATTGTCCTGAGATTATTATTATTATTACTCATATAAGAACTTCCCTATCTCATAGCTACTACCTACCTATCTAATAACTAAAGAATGCGTATTCAGTAATTAACAAATTATGTTTAGTCGTTGACTTGTATGCGATAATAGTAACTAATTTTTACACCAAAATGTGTATACAACGATGACGTTATTCGTAATAGTACAAACGTCGCGTCATCATTATGAGACCATTTGTCTTACCCTATTTTAAGTTTAATTACTTATACTTTAAGTTTAATTCCCGCTAATCAAATAATCAGCAAGTAATTTTACGATTAGGTTTTACCCCACTGTTCTTTTCGTTGTGTCACAGAATTAAAATTCAGTATTATGACATTGAAACAAAAAGAAAAAGAGGTAGACCACAGAAACGCTGGGAGGATGAAGTCAAGCTGACAGCAGGTCCCTACTGGAGAAGAGCAGCCCAAAATAGAGTACACTGGAAGGAATTAGAGGAGGCCTTTGCCATAAGGCACTCTGTACTGCGGGATATAATATAGAAAATGAAATAAATAATTAAACATAAAAAAAAAATTAAACTACTTAACTAATAATAATAGTAAAAAAATATATATAATAATAATAAATTTATAGTATAATATAATAATATGAATGAACAGGAATGTAGAAAAAAAAAGTATAATAGTACAGAAATAAAGGGTTCTTTATCTTTATCTTTATTATGACATTACTCTTTTTATTTTATTTCTCCGCCGTATGTTACCGCCGTATAATGGCAAAGGTACTTGAAGGCGTTGACGACTTAATCCTAGCTTATATATTGCATTTCGGTAAAAAATAGGGTAGGGTAGAGGGGGATAGACTTGTTAGACTATATTGCTAGAAATTTGGCTAGTTCTGTTTCTAAAAATTCTAAATAAGAAAAATGTTGTATAGTAGGTAGTAGTAGGTAAATGTAATAATGACTGTATATATCTAATAATATTTATATATACCACAGGACCCAGTGGCAAATGAATATGCTGCCCAACTGACGGTAAATGGTTACTGTAGTCTAAAGACGCCTGAAAGACCAGCATACTCTGCATGAAGCACTTAGCCGCCCTAAAATGATATTTATAATAAAAATGTCAATCAAGAAGGACTACATACACGTTGTACTTTGTAGAGTAGGTACTTTTATAATACTTCTACTATAATGTCTTTCCCGCAACTTCGTCAGTAAATTTTAAGATAAAAGATCAGATTAAATTTTATATTTATAATATAAGAATGAATTATTTCTTGACGACGAAAGCACCATGGTCAAGTTCTTAAGTACACCGACCTTATATTATATTATATAGTAGTATTTTAACTCATAACATAGTTTATTATTTCTTAGTTAAATAAAATTGTATTATTGTACAAACAACTAGTGCTTCTTTATGTACGTTATAATATGGTGGCGCCATCTATGGTCAACTTCGTTATTCAAAGCTCAGCGTAGATGACTGCCATTATCATCAATTAATTGCGTTATTATTTCATTACTAAGAATTCCAGGACTAGAACTGAACTCTAACATCATAAGTACAGGTACAACAGATCATGAATTTATTGAACGACAGATACTCAGAATTTGGGTAGGCTTGTAATAGGTGTTCCTATAATTATAAATATAGTCATAAATTCATTAAAGTGAAACGATAATATTAGCATTGCCATGACAATGTAATAATATAGTAACATTAGATTAATGATCATAATATATTTGCTCATTACATAATAATCTACTTCAAAGCATCAATTATAAAAACTAAACCATACATATGTGAAATACTTACTGTGTGTGGGTGGAATTTAAAATATATATATTGTTAATGTTTTTGTAAAATCATCGTGTCTAGTGAGTATATCAAACTATGTAGGTATATCAGTTCTGTTTGATTCATTCCTAATGAATCGATCCTTCAACATATAATTTAAACACCAATTGTTGATTGAAATGCTGTACCATACACAACTCGATTCAGTATGTGCTAACTACAACACTAGTATATACTGACCAATCCTCGTATTCCAAATCCATAAAAAATAAAATAGACAATATGTCTGTCTCTATCTAGTACCAAATAGTACCTATTTCCTTTTAGTATTTGCTGGGGGTTCATGAGGCTGGCACGTAACGATGACTGGTGTGGATGAAATATTGAATTATCGTAGAAACCCTGATGACGATTTCTACGCATTACTAGGATGTGATGAAAATTCAACTGTATGTATTAAAATTTATTTTATTAATAGATGTAATGATAGAAAATTTTATCATAAAAAACTATTGATTCTAGTGACCTTACTCAGAGGGAGCACTCGAGGTCCCAAGATTTGACCTAGTTTATGAAATAAATTATAGGTTTCATAGAATTTAGGTCACCTCATTCACAGTTTTATAAATGAGTTGAGAGTTTAAGATAAATTCGTGGGTTTTTATTTAATGCGTCATTGTTATTGCAGTCGCTGGGAATCCCAAACATTGTCACCGAGTTAATATGTTTGTTATCTATTAATATGAAATAAATATACTTTTAATTAATTACAGATCGAGCAAATAACAGCTGAATATAAAATCCTCGCTTTACAGCATCATCCCGATAAAAATGATGGCGATAAAGAGGCAGAAGCCAAGTTTCAACAACTAAAGGTACTTACTGTAAACAGTCTTAAGTGTAATTAAGGAAAAAGAATAAAAAATGTCCACTTAAGCAAAAAATTGAAAATTATATTTATATATGAAATTATAGTCTGTAACAGGTAGTTGCGTTCAACTTGCATTATTCATTATTATTGTTATTTATCAACATTTTTTGTTACGTACAACTATTACAGTTCATGTATGTACATTGACTTTTACTTTTATAAGCGTTGAATTCAATGGAATATAATACGTCATTAAACATGACGTATTATATTCCAATTACATATATTAATGAATTTTTATTGAAGCTTTAGTATCAAACTGGAATATTCGAAAAAGCTTCATAAACAAAATATTGTGTACAACATATTCAGTGATTAGTATGTATGTACCAAATGTTATAAGTAATAATTTGTAGACATTCAAAAATATTTGAAAGTAGTACAAAATTGTAGCGATTGCAAGACTTCAGTAAACCAGAATATAATTTTTTTAGCTCTATTTTACAATTTATGTTGATGTTATATATATATATAGAGTCTCTCCTCACCTTATAATTATAACATAGATAATTTATGTATCTGTCATCTCTAGTATTACCAAAGTATTCATTTTAAAATATAAATTTGTTGTAATTCAATGGTTCTAATATTTAATGTTTTCAGGAAGCAAAAGAGACCCTGTGCGATCCTTCTAAGCGTGCTCTTTATGATAAATGGAGGCAGAGTGGCATTGCTATGGGCTATAAACAATGGCTCGGCATGAAGGAGCATGTGCAACAATCCATGCATTGGTCCAAACCAAACACAAAGGACCGCATGTTGGAGGGGGAGTCTGGCCGTTCATCTGGACCGTCCAGCCTGGGTCCAGCTAACTCAGCAGCTCGTCGCGCCTCTGAAGGTGGCGCCGCACTCTGGGGCCGCTGGGGCGGTGGAAACCAGGAGCCTCCATCTGAGGTCATCTCTAAATTTCGCAACTATGAAATTTAATCATGTTACTTTTTATCTTTGGTTGTTAAATGCTCCTCTTATTTGTTTTCGGAGCATATTTATTTTATGATATAAGAGGTTAGTTGTGCCCTAAACCTCTTAAAATTATATATGAAAAAAGATATTAATTATTTATATCTATTTATACATTATTGAGATTATTATTATAAAACCTGCACCAGGCTGTTATACTTATATCACTTGCCATTTTCTTAATTTGAAATGTTTAAATAATTAATGTGTTAAATGTTAAGTATAAGTAATTAGTTATAATGAATTTGGCACAATATTCATCAAGTCAGCTCGAACAACGTTACTCGAATGGAACTCTGTATTCTATTAACTAAATTTTCAGTGTTTAATGTACTAAGTGTATCTCTATTATATTGTAAGTAGCATTAAGGTTATTGATGTTAGACGCCCCAACCTTAGTGTGAAGTTAATAGTATTAAACACTTGTAGCTATACCCTTAGCTGTAAGCTATGCACATTCCTGATAAAACTTATGAGTCTGAGTATAAACATTTCTGCTGTGGAACAATATCTTAGTGTCTACTTAAGAATCTCTATATTTTAAAGAGTTATATTTTTGATCCTTTTTTATGACTATTTATCATAAGTAATGTATTATTTTTATGGATGAGGAAACAATGGGAGAATTGTTGTGAGATGTATACAGGGTATTGATGCGAGACAGGGCTACTTTACGTTTGTTATTGCGCCTTTCTAAACATTTACTATTTAATTTTGATGACAATCTCAATACCAATGTTGATGTTGTGTTCCCCGCGTTACCATAGGATTAGGATAATTGTGTTAAATGTTTGATCAGTATTTACTTTGGATGTTTTAAATATACTTAAATGTTAAAGTAGCGGAATATTCAATCTAAATGTTTTATGTCGATCGGAATCTCTAGGATTATATTAAAAAATTTACGATGTCGTTATTTTTGATGTGAATCAATTTGAAAAACAATAAATTTCAATTATATCAGAAATTGTTGTATCTTTAAAGAAATTTACCTAATATAATAATATCACATTCATACTATAAAAACTTTTCATACAACCTGGTGATGGTAAACTACATCTAGCAAGGAGTACCTAATTATAGACAATTGTCAATTGTCGACGTTGTAGTAAAGTCAATACAACAAAATTTTCAATTCAACAACCTTAATCTCATTGGTCACAGTGAAAATTCTAAATAATTCACTACTCCATAAGATGTACATACGAATATGTTTTTTTAATTATAATTTCTATTATCATTCACCATTCCTGGTGCACTCGCATCTAACAATTAGGGTTATTAATGTACATGATTAACAATCTTCTTCTCTCTGAATTCTATGAAACTTATAATTATTTTTTATATTTCACAATATGAATACGTTACAAACAGACGGCAAACAACATATTAGATAACAAATTCACCCACAAATATCAGCGGCTCGTCATCCGGATGAAATATCATGGACGAGACGCCTAGAGAACTGTACCTATAGCTCACAAAAAACCTTCAAACGTCAACATAGTTGCTGGAGGACTAAAGTGTCCTACTTTTGGAAATAGAAATTTATGCAATAAAAAAATATTACAATTATATTAATTTGACACTAGTAAATTCAAGTTACAAACTTACACATTCCAAAAATGTATTATTTCGAGGGCCAACATTATACTTTCAAAACGCGTACCCTGTAATACACTGTTATATTTCACACTTCCAGTCGAAACACAGTTTCCTTTTCAGTGGATAAAAATCCCTCAGAATCAGTCAAACCACTTGCCAAAGAATATACTATATCTCCTTTGGCAAGTGGTTCTGTATCGAAGATGTATGAACCCACGCAAACGACGTTATACAAAGTTTACTTCTGTACAATATAGAATTGTAAACATAATTAAAGATATTATCTGTTTACAATTTTATATTCAAAAGATCGAGTCGACAAATAACTTAAGTATTAAACGTAGGGAGGAGACGTATTAAATGAATATAATAATAAAAAAATATTGTCCAGCTAATGTAATTTTTGTTGATAAGAACGACATTTTTACAGAGAATTTATTATGTAAACACGTCGCGTGACAATACATATACAACAACATATTACCAAACTATACCTACTTGAAAAAGAAACAACAGGGTTTCCAAGCATCGCCACCGTCCTGTTTAATAATTCCGGGGATTCTTGCATTGAAAAACTATTCAGGCACGTGCTATAGACACCTACTTATCAACATTGATCAACCGTTTCCATATTCATTTCCTTGAAGTTATGAAATAAATATCGATAAAATTATTTGTTGTTTTCGGTAAATTCGGTAAAACCTTTACAAAATAGAAGATCCGGCTCGAAGGACCATGTACGAGGCAGCAACAGAACGTTAATTTCTGTGAATTCTTGCAGTGATCTTTAAATAGTACCTAGTGAGTATTAGAATAATACGTTTTATTATCTTAATAACGGAATAATTTATAAACGGGAAATAAATACGGACTTTCAAAATGTCAATCTCTTAAATAAGGCAATTCACACAAATTTGTTTAAAGAAGTTGATTTAATTAAAAATGAAAATTATACAGAAATAAATGGAAAGCATATAGGATTTTCTAGTCCAAGTATTCATGAAATTGAGGAGCTGCTCTGAAGAACAATAGATATCGAATAGATTTCACTATATGTACAGTGCACATAAGAACTGCAGTACGGTCACCGCGATGACCACCGTATATTTTAACACTCTATATCTATAGTATAACAGAGTTATGGGTCTATTATTGCCAAAAGTAATATTATTTTTCTAGTTTACATATTAAATTTAATATAAAAAAAATTACTCTACCTTACTTCAGAACGTTCGCAGCTTTTATTACTCGCAAGATGCAAATATTTTATTCATGATTATGCTTATTTGCTTTGGTCTGGGTGTTTTCTATATTTTATTTTGGGACTAGTAATAAGACAAAGAACAAATAAGTCAGTCTAACTTTCAAGTAACTCACTCTGGACACCACTATCGCCAACACGCACATTCTTTGTGTGCGTGTTGGCGATAGTGGCACCCATTAAACTTAAAAGAAATACGATGTCAACTAAAAGTTGTCAGTTGAATGTTGTATAAGTAGATATTACGTATACAATAATAGCGATTTATTCCGTTTTAAAATTATAACTTACGTTTTTTTAAAACATAGTTATAATTTAGTTCATATTATGTCACACTAGTAAAAGCTATTAATACACAGGATTATCGATAAATATTTCGAAGTGTATTTTTTCTAATGTCATTTGTAGATTTTTATATGGATAAATACAGATAAAATGCTCTTACAATAATCCCTGCACTTAAATGCATGTATAGAGAGGATGTAATAATATACTCCGTGATATTGTGTTTTTTTTATGAGCGAGTATGGAATATGATTAATTCGCCAGCGCTAAAAACTGAAGGATGATAAGAAGGGAAAGTAATCAATGACTAGTCAATGTGGCGATTTCGCTAGGAATGATCCACGATTGTTTCCAGGAGGATAATCCTAATTACTGACAATACCCTCGCCCCCATATCAGGGACTCCTCCTCCAGAAACGAAAAAAAAATTAAGTTTACTGATGCAATAACTATATCAGAATTAGACCAGATCTCTACTCTTTAACAATTATTAATTATTGTACTTTACTATGGAATTTCTAAACTGTGACTCAAGTACAAATATGTATCATATAAAATGAAGGCGACGTCTCTACCAGGGTGGTCACATCGTTATAGTTAATGTACCATTTATCAGATAGGTAGGTACTATGGACGTGGCGCGAGCGACGGCTCGGCGAGGCTGGCTCCTGCCATTTCATATAGTGGTTGTTTACACTTGCGCCTCCGGTTACATCGTTAGCCACCGACAACCGACCCAGCGACCAGCAGTTTGTTGCCAGCACTTGCCTGACGCGAAAGTGATCTAGTGATTAGTGAATTGACAATTAATCAGAAAAAAAATTTATTTGTCATTAACATATCAATTAGATGTAAGCGAAATTATGTAGGTGAAACAGATTTATTGATTCAAAAAGAGCTTAATTGCCTTTTATTTCGGAAAAAATTAAATTAATTTACATAATAATGTATCAGGCAGCCCTGGATAATACATAGGTATGATTTCAACTTCACTCATTTCCAGTAGATAGAGTTATAAATCGTGTTAGAATGACAACGAAATTATTTTGTCGTTACAATTAAGCAAATATTATTAATATTTTGGTCCTCTGTATTTACTTGGATAAGTGTATAATGGAATAATTACTGTATATCACAACACACATGGTGTAGATTAGTTCATAGAGAAGTAATGTTGTCACATTGACAAGGTTCTATGGCTATTAAGGGGCGGAAATTAATGCATAGTAAATATATATTAAAGTGCAGTTCGTTTGTTATTGAGCTCTAGTTTGTTGAATATGTGATATAGTTTTCACCCACAACGTTTTTGACGCTATAACCATAGACATTTGGAATGACTGGCATAGTCTATATCTTTCTTCGAAAGACGAAAGTTAGTAATTCATTTTATGGAAATTGCGTAAGGTTTTACAACAAACTGCCAGAGTCTTTACTCAATTTGCCTTAAAAAAGATTCAAATATCTTATAAAATAAATGTAACACTGAACTGTACAATTAATAAATAAATAATAAAAAATATTTGTGAAAAAACTTATATAATGCATTAGACATCAGAGTATCTATACAATATCCTTCACATGACAAATTGTGAAGCGGGAATATTTGTTTGATAATTCTAATATACCTAACAGTATTCATATATCTACGCATAATATTACACCACAGATTTTATTTCTTTAAAATTTTCTCTTAACATGCTTTTCCATATTCAAAATTCAACAATATGTATAATTTTTACAATAAGATAAAAAACAATATGTATACCTACGCTGCTTTATTAACCATCCATATTAATATAAAAAAAAATGCGAGGGTATTCTGTGTCTGTGCGCATCTTTGTTGCCCTTACACGTTAAGACGAAACGTCGAATGGATTTTAATAAAAAAGATAACGATAGTAAATTTCAAATATTGTTTTGTGATGATATAAAAACTTTTTTTATATCAACTGAATTTCAGTTGAGTTTCTCGCCAGTTCTTCTCATTTAAGTCTGTATACATTACAAAAAACTTGAGCGGCTAAAATATCGTACATGAATAATTGGTTTTTTGAATTTATATTTTATCCAAAAAAGACGTAAATGTTTTATTATTTGATATTCTATGCAATTGTAAATAAATAACTAGTAATAACCAATCCTAGCTAACCTGAGGTTCATTAATTAAAAATTAAAGTCAGAGAAACCGATCATTATTCACATAATATTGTCAGTGTATGATCATCAGAAACATTAATTGATTCCATATTTCCATACAAAGAGTAAGCACAGACAATTGAAAACTCGAAACTTAGCAACGGTAATGTTTCCATGAACGTGGAATGCATTGCAACTCGAGATCACAATTCCACGATGCGGTTGACCTTATAACAAAGAGCAATTCTTTGCCAATGAAATGCAACGCTGAAGCTTTTATTGGTGTTTTGAATGCGTTCAGGTAAATTAACTTTCATCATTATTAGCATATGAGACGAACTCATATTAATAATATTATGCAACGTGACAATAATTTAGTACATTATTGATAATTTTTTTAATGTCTCAGACATGATATTTATATTTGCAATTTGTTTGTATAATACGTAAATTCATGTGTTCATGTATAATACGTAAATTACAAGATAACTTCTACAATTTTACATAACAAACGGCATAACGTGTTTATAATAGAAAAGTTATTCTTCTAATAAAAATAAAACACTATATATAACATAAGCAGTTATATAACTGCTTATGTTATTGCTATATGTTATACGTATATATATACCTACATATTATAACTGTATATATACTATATCTATAACTATATCTTATCTCAGAAATCTCCAATTATAATGAATTACCTAATCAATTCTAATTTCAGTGACAAGTTAATAAGAAGTTTATTACACATCCTATTAATTTACAATCAATTTATAGAATAGTGCTGATAAAAACTGAAACAACTGCAAGCCTACAAGAGTGTTTCGTAGCAAACACAGTAGTGTGCAATGCTAAAGTGTCACAATGCATGTACTTACTTTGTTTGTTCTGAAATATTCTAACTAGCATCATCAACTGTGACTCTACATCTATATACTGAAGCAAGAAGATTTAGGGTAATGTATAAACAACAGGAATGTTATGTACAGTATACGTCTAATTCTATATGTAACGTTTTTGTTGTCTTAAATTGCTCTCCGCTCTACGTTCGTTCTACAAGAATTTGTTCCAACTATGAAAAATATTAGTAATTGTATACATGACAGATTTAGTGCCTAATTGTATTCTCTACCAGTCGCCACTAACCGTCGCTCTAGACAGAGTATTTTACCAACATGCAACGATGTATGTATGCAACTATAATGTATTTATAATTATAAAATACGTATAGTATAATATACTGACTAATAATATACTATAAGGTGATATATAATGTAATTATGTATGTATATTCAGAGTTACCTAGAAAAGTGCAAAGGATTCTTCCATACAAAGGGAATAAGGAAGAATCTTGCTTGCCCCGTGTTAAGTAAGTAACCTACCTGTTCTCACTGCTCCGTCGCAAACATCCATCTTGTACATATATTCCTAAGTGACAAGTACATACAATTATTGTGTACAATGGACTACTATGAGTTACCCAATAGTATTTTAGAAAGGCTTCCTATCCAAAAAAAGTAATATATCTCTGTATAAGCTTTATGTTTATTTTATTATTAGTTTTTGAATAGGCATTTCTGTCGGTTTATAAATAAATTATTATTTATTTTTTACAATAATTAATAATAAGGTACTTAGTAAATAGTTAGGTAACATTTAAACTGCACAAAGGGTATATATGCTTGAATTTGTTTGTTAAACGGAAAAGACAATAAATACATTGATATGTTTATTAAAAAGTCAGTATGCGTACAACAGAACATGTTATTTTATGATTTTATTTTTGCGTAGTATTCATATAGAATAAGCGTTAAAAATATAATTTGTGGCACATGCGACTTGTGCACACATTTTTACAATTACCACAATAATAAATTATTATTATTATTATGTAAAATATAATGTCTCTATTTAGAAACAACGATATAAAAGGACATTACAAAACAAAATATTTAAACATAATTAATTCAATAGAAAATTATTTGGTTAAAAATAAATTCTTTGTAAACGAAATCCTTATTTGCTATTCAACCTATATCTACGTAAATTAGCACTGGTTGAAATATCACGGCCACTATAATATAGCCTCTCATAAATTTATTTTGCATAAATCTTTGTTTAAACTATTATAAATTGTCATTTGATGCTGGCAAGAACTACATCTAGTTGGTATAACTAATTCATACAATACAAAAATTTCAACTAAATTACTATATTTTATTTTCTACTTAATATCTAGACATTTAGATATGAATAGTTATAAAAATCATGTTAGTTTATAATATGGCATTATATTTGCACTAAAACAGTTTCCACAATACCGTTACAATAATACCTACGTTTACTATTTTTTTTACAACACATTGTACTTTAACATTGAGAATATAAATGCAATAATGACATTACTTACGTCTACACATTTTATTCAGCATAAAGACATTCGACATTGAAAAACTATACCAATGAAGAAAAACTTTGAATATCTTTCCAAAATCATTTAGAAGCAATTTATTATGAAATTGTTTTAAGAGTGACGAAAACATGCAATTCTTCTTATGCATTATTTATTTGTTAGAATTTATTGTTTTGGCCATGTATAAAATATTCTAAATTAGTATATCTCTAATTTGTAAAATATTAAATATAATTCATGTTATTCGTTTCATTATCAAACCTTCTACATGTGAAAGAATTTAAAAAATTAGGTGAGTATTTTATTATTGTAAACCGTTATTTAATAAAGAAAATTATAGGTATATATTTTTTTCTCTTTACAATATTAATTTAGATAAATTAATAAGTAACTAGTAACATTGAGTACTACAGAATTCACCTTACCCACACGTGCTTCTTCTTTTCACTAGATCAGAATAATTCTTAACGTTTCAACGAATTCTATCTGGATGTTTTCGGTATTGGTTTCGGTATCTTTCGCATGTAACTCTCGTCCTGGTATTCGAGAGAGCACGGTTTCAATAATTCTTGACCTCCTTGGTGAATCCATTTGTTTGACACTAGAAATTACGACAAATGAGTCAGTTTCCGTTTATGTCACAATTTGTACATTAAAATTTAATCAATCCTTCTAGAGGCCCATAAAGTTCTATAAGTATGAAAATGTCAAAAAATATAAAATTTAAAGAAAATTATTTTTTTCTAATGGAGTCCCCATTACCCAAAAATATCTAATTTTTTCTTAAGATTATTAAGATTTTTTTAAAGTCTCAGTTTTTCAAATTGTGACATTGAGTAAATAGTAACCCCATTAGTGATTAACAATATGTCGTATCAGGTAGTCTGGAACCTTCTCGTGATCCCTGGAAACTATGGTAAGTAATCCTAGTGAATATATCTCGATAGGCTAATTGACTAGATTTTCAGATGCTCATCTTATCATCTTTAACAGGTGCGGCATCAGTGCAAAATTTATTTATTTAGTGAGTACAAAATTCCATTGTCATCAATTAAGTAAACCATGAGTTATAATTTTTTATTAAAACTAGTTACTTCTTTATATTGTATGGGGATTGAAATTGATATGTTTTAGTTTAGTGCCTACTTCAAATTCTAATGGTCGTCATTACAATTTGAAGTACTATACTAAAACTGCTACAGCAATATAATCGTATATTGTAGCAATTGTGTTATACTTATTTATATTAATTTATTTTTTACCCCATTTAGAGCCGCGCAAGACGGGACAAGCGGCATGGCGCGTCGAGAGATCGCCTTCGCCGGATGGATGAAGGTTCATCCAGAATAGCGCCGCGCCCTTTATCGGGAACACACTCAGACCGAGCCGCGTGAACACTGTGGCGCCACCTTGAGCCACCTCCGACATCTAAATTAGGTAAAACATTTATGAACACCAATAACATGTACTTCATAAAAACCTTACAGATATAATTTATTACTATTATTTATTTATACTAGTTGAATCACGTAGCGCTGCCCTTGTGGAATACAGCCTATGTTATGTACATTGATACCGTAGCTTAACATAATAAATTTTTATAATCGAACAAGTATATTTTGAGTTTATCCATTACATACCAAAAAAATACAACGTAATTTTACCTCTGTATACTATTTCGTACTATAGATATTTTACTCTCAAAGGTATTCAAACCATTCGATGTAATGAATCTAAAGTATATAATTTGTATATTAATTATTTATAGTGTATATTAATTTAATTGATGAAACATTTTTACAGCATACACCATAACATAACAATGATAACATAAACAGCACTTTATTATCAGATATAAAGAAAACGATAAGACCCAAGAAAATACAAAAAGGCAAATTATACCAAATTCATGGAACATTCACAACATAAGTTAAATTAATAAATCATCTACTACACAGCATATAACTATTACGATTTAGTTAAGTTAAATTACTTATATGGTGCAATACTAACATAAAACAGCACTGTTGCGATCCTGTTTCCGCTAAACTTCCTGAATGCGTTTTCTTGCTTCTGAAAGAAGGGAAAGGTTCTATAAATCTATGCATAATGTCAAGTGGAGTTTACACTATGTTGGTCCCGTGATCTACTATCATTTTTTTTCAGACGAATGCTGTTGTCCTCATATTGCCATTACAGCTTCACCGGACGATACGCGCCCCCGAGTGCAGATGACATCCAAACCGGCGGAAGGACTTATGGAGCGGCTGAAGACTAAGCCTAACCCGCCTTACGGATATCACTTCAGTCTGAGGGCACCGCTAGGGGTTCGAACTTCAGCTCAAGCCGTCATAATTTCGATCTCCGTTTGTATTGGAGGATGGGATCGGATTTAGATCCAATAAATATTTATAAAAACTCACTCACTCTACGGTAATCAAAAATAAAATATTAAATGAATCTAAGATTTCAAGCAAACCCAACGAAAAATAGGTACGTCAAACATTGAGTTAAATACGACGCATTTATTCGTAATATATTAAGTTATTAGAAATTATATTGTTGAGTTATACTTACCCGAGCAAAATCAAAATGCGGTTCGTAATGGCCTCCAATTCCATAATTGACGACCTGTAACAACGATGGTGAATAATATTGTAGTATACAATATGTCCTAAAACTTGACGATAAAACTGAAGCAAGAGACAAAACGAGTCATCACAGCTATCAGTAAAATAGAAATAAATTAAAAAATCATCACCATATTATGATAATTTTCTAGTTTTCTTTAATATCTATAGTTTTGCAATCACACGGTCAAGATATTTTTTTATTTTTCTGATAGCTGTAATGACTTGTGCTATCTCTCGCTTCTGGTTTATCGTCGACTTTTGGATCAGCCTGTATAAATAATATTTAATGTATTTGTACCAAAGAAGAATAACTAAATCATGATTAAAATGGCAACTGTTAAAAATAATAACAAACTAGTTATTAGCTGCAAATTCATTTGCTTTTTCGAGATAAAATACAGGCTGTCTTTCCTCATGATACAATCCATATTCATATCAAATTTCATTAATACCCATTAAGCTGTTTAATTTTGAAACAGTACAACAGATAGTCAAATACCTTCACATATATAATATTAGAATGGATGTGTGTTACTTGTTTTTCTTAGCATTATACCTATTTAAGTAAATCCAAAACATAAACCGGATTTCACTTTTTTACATAATTAATAAGGTACCAACAATAGAATAAACTCTAAAATAAAAAACATCTAAATTGTACTTTCAATAAATTAAACTAAGGTTCATATAGCAATGTGATCCATGTTTTTATAGTAATTGAGATGAATGACCCATCATTTGATTTAATCGAAATTGAATATTTATAAGCAGTTCTATGTTTGGTTGAACGACTGTAGATAAACATTTAAAATGCCAATTTAAATTGACCAAACGACTGTAGGCATTCAAAAATATTATTTAGAATTTCATAATGGAAATTTTAGATGCAATTTCTATTCTAACTAGTGTCGATAAACTTTAGTCATAATAAATAGTAAGACAAATAAATAAATAACCCTAGAGCCCCATTGTATAAAACTATTTGGTTTTAAAATAAGTAGAAATTATACCATGCCATGTACAACATTTATTTACAGAAATAGATACGAGCTGAGTTTTTGTAAGTTCTTCTCATCTCGAAATCATTCAAACTGACGGTAGATTTGACATATCACGAGTCTGTAATAGACCTACATGAATAAAGATATTTTGAAATTGAATTTGCCATGGTACAAACGGATATACCTATACAAATACAAATAGTTCTGATTGTTGTCAAATTTGGATCTCTTAAAAAATATCTTAGCATTTTAATAGGCCCCTATACTATACCAAATAATAAATATATATATTATATAATTTGGTTCAGGCAAGTTAATATATATACATATTCTATATACCTTAAGGGCTAACATATACAGAAAATAAAAATACTGACCTGCAATTCCTCAGCTGTGTCCATACTGAGGCCGGTGATATCAGCGACGCGCTGAGATATCTTCGAGACGACGTCGGATTCCTCGTCGCGGAGCCAACCAGACTTGCTTATTCTGTAGTTGGCTGGCACCAGCTCACCAGTACGAGGGTCATGTACCACAGCGCGCTTGAACTGTAGAGTTATATATAAGGTCGTATATATATATTTAACTAGAATGAGATTTGTATTTTGTTTAATTACGAATGAGATTATAAGAGAGAGGTTTTTATTCAATAAAATAATTTGAGAATATGAATGGCAAAATGCCTTAAGAATTTAATTATATTAATATAATGACATAAAATAAGAATAATATTGACATACAATGACTAAACGATGATATATAATGATTTTTAAATTGTATAATGTTATATGCTAACTACAATTCTGTAATTATTTACAGAAGCATAATTATTAATATAAAATACGCAGTCTTTAGGTACATACGGCGGAATGTGTGAAACTATATGTACAAATTCTATAACCATTATGCACACCACATTTCTCGCAAACAAACCTTTCATTTCATAGCACACTCTAATCGTGAGTGGCATCCGTCGCTTATACATAGGTATATATATGAACGGCAGCACAGACATAATGGTATCATATAACTGCCATAGTATCCCTCAAACGGTGCCATTCCGCACCACTAAAATATGACTGTGTATCCACTAATTTCATTCTTATCTCTCCACAGAAATACAGTGAATAAAGCTAGCAGTTTGACTGCTGAAATAGTCGAGATATAACATTTTAGTCCTGCCGAATGGCAACGCGTGAGTGGTATCAGTTCTGCCATCAGTTTATTCCAATTACAATACATTACATTCCAATACAAAAAGACAAAATTTCCCTCCAAGACGACTTTAGTCTATCTCGGTATACTATAAGCTCTCCGTCGGTATATGTTGTCTAATAAATTAGAAAAGGCCAATCGTACAAAATTTAAACTGACTTATTTCGCATCATCTATATCTTCACAGTTTTTTTCATATTATATTTCATATGTTACCTATATATTGACTGCTTTGATACACTAATTTTATCTATGCGGAACTAATTTAAAATCCAATCAATATGCATATTATTCAGAACTATAGCATATTCTATTACTCACCCTCGGTTTAGCCAATGACTTTATATATTCTATCTCATCATCACTCATTACCTCGTGGAACACAACTACGTCGGGGTTCAAGTATATTATTTCCATTTTCACTCGCGCTAGTTTAAGAAAAGGGTGGTTTTCTGTAAGGTAGCGACAATGTAAGCTGAAAACAAAATACTATTTATTACATCTAGAAATAAACTGTGATATACTATTACCACTAAACGAAACAGATAGTTGTAATAAAAAAAAAGTAACAAAAAAACAACATACTCTTTGGTGAAGTAGCTTGGTAAATACATGTCACCGCGACATAGAGATTCGTAGTTCATTCTGTCTTTTTGATATTCAGTCAACTCCGCCATATACTCAGAATTTTTTTCTTTGGTATCTTCTCCGATATCCTATTGAAGATATAACACTAATCTTTATATAAATAAATATATATATATTTATATGCATATATAAGCGAATTAATTCTGAGCGGATGTACTTATTTAGTAATTTCTTTTTCTATTAGGTTAGTAATTGTCAGGGCTCGAAGATGGAGAAATCATACGAAAACATGAAAATTAAGATAAATTGGGTAAATTTAGACAAATATTCGAATAGGAGATTTTATTTAATTTACTTTATTAATACATCGGTGTGTGGCTTAATATTAAACTAATTTAAAGTTCATTTTATTATCTATATTTTTGTGCGATTCGCTTACCCCCCTACGCCTTCGTTTCTGTTTTACATCTTCTTCCTCTATATCTTTCATGTAATGCGGTATGTTGCCACTGGCGCGCGTATGATTGGGATCGAGCTTCAATAACTTTTTGGTCCAATCTAGTGCAGTTTTAACGTCACCTGTAACAGTCACCAATTCCAAACATATACATAATATATTTATTTAGAAGCACAAACATTCAAGCAATGTATTACATTACAAGCAAAAAAAAAATTTATACCTAATGTATCTTACATTAGGTATTAATTTTTTTTTCTTTAATAAAGCTTACAATATACATTATTATATTTAATACAGAGTACATGTGAATTAGGTTTACATGGTTGTGGATAGTCACTAAATATATCTGGACGGATGGAGGCGTTATGTGTCGGTTATTAAACCCCTTAAAACATGGTTAAATGCAATGATGGCTGGCAGACCGTCATGCTTGTGAACAGATACAAATACATTAGTCTGCTATTAATTGCTGTGACTATTATGTGGGACTCCTTTATTTATTTATACATTATTGACCAATAGAATATTGGTACAAAAAGCGGACTCAATGCTATAGGCATTCTCTACCAGTCAACCTTTGGGAAGTGCAGAGATTGACGGTGGCTTAACATAGGATTTGCAAATTCCATAAATATAAATATTAGACAGATGGTAATGCAAAATTAAATGTTTCAAAGTTGATTCAGCAATCCTCTAGGATTGCTGAATCAACTCTGAACTTCCTCTAGGAACTCGTCAGGAACAGGATCAATTCCTATTATATAATTTTCATTGTTATTAAAGTAATATAATGCATGTCTTACCTATCATATAATGACTAAAACTAATGTACTCCAATATATCGACCTCATCAAAGAGGTATGGTTCATTCTCTTCTTTATATTTCCGTAGGGTCTCCATCATCCATGTGAGAGCGTTTTTATAATCTTTGTCATTATACAGCGATCTACCGAGTTCGTAACAGTCACTTGCTGTCATCGGCGTACTAAAATGTAAATCAAAATGAACCTTAAAACCAGCGGCCGTAGAAGTAAAATATCAGTAACCAATGTTAAACTTGTTAATATCAAATATACAAACAAATGACATTGATAGCGTGGGTAGCATTAAATATGTATTTTGTAAAACCTGTTGTAAAACCACTCTGCTTAAGACCGTTTTCTTAGATGGGTTCAATAAATAACCAGTGATTTGATTATGTTAAATTTAGACTTAAAATGTATCTCCACTAATATATTACTAAAATTATGTGACCGACCGTATATTAGAGAATATTTTAATTCAAGATTAGTATTAAACTCTATACTAATATTATAAAGTGGAAATATAAGCTACATTATCGAGAAACTAGTAAATAAAGCTAGTATTCGATAAATTTCGATATATATTATTATTACTGTGTTGTAATACATTTTATATCAATTTCAGACCACAGACCTGTAAATAACACCATTCAGTAATCCCTCGGACAATTCTCTAACATCGAGGCGGTAGGTGTCCTGTAAACGAATCAGCGCCTGCGCAGCTCCGGACAAGTCTTCCTGACTCGGATATTTCACGTCGTCATAATTTATAGTCACGTTCTTTATATACTCTGTCAAGTAATCGTATTCATAAAACTACTTATTACAAAACAGTACAATGTTATCATTTTCCTAGCATTAGATATACAAAATACAGGAAACAAACTATTGTGTGGGTTTAACTATACTTTTAGTTATACGTGTAGGTACTATGAAAGTCCATAATAAGAGTAAAACTTTGATAATTATAGTAGCTACATTTGAATTATTTAAATTCATATAAATAAGCGAATTTTCTGTATTATTTAAACAGTTAATATCATACTATTAGATATAATTATAAGCCATACCTGTTCCTATTTTAATACTATGTTCTATATCATCTAGATCTGTAGTCAGTCTTTTTATAAGAGTAAAGGCATTAATAGGGTTTCCTAAATAATTTGGGATATCTTTCATCGCCATATCATGTTCTCTTTTGTAGACCATCAAATGTCTGTAACATTAAAATGAATTATTAGTTTTTTTATTAATTTATTCATTTCGTATTATATACAACTTCTGATATTTATACACCCATAGCAAGAGTATGTGCTATTCTATTTTAGATGACTAGGTCTTTTGATTATCTTTATCAAAAAATACTATTAAACTTATAGATAATACAATTCGTCGACAGGCCCGCTCAAGGTATCTTATTGTAAGAGCTCAATTAAGTAAATTAAATAAATCTTTTAATAACAACACATTTTACTTTGTAGTTCTATAGGGCAGCATTTTATGGACCACTACTTTTCAATATTAATGATATACCAGAAATAATAATTATGGCCTGTTATTTATTATTACGTGCGATAATTTTCTTAATTTTTTTAAATAAGTATTATTATTCTATACATAATTTAGTGAATTATGATAGCATATTGAATATGAACAGTACGCCTAAATTGACACAATTCTAATCTTTTCTTCCGGTCTAAAATTATGTGTCATACTAAAACCAACATGGCACATTTCAAGACTTAGGAAGTAAGTAGGTGTATATATAGCATATTATATAAACATATAGCAACGTGACCGTTTTAAAATGTTATAATTTTCCTTAAAACAACCTAACCAAACTTGTTTTTACACCAGTTCAAAATACATGCAAACTGCAGTTCATGAACTTACTTCTTTAAGATTATTAGTCTTTTTTCTTCCTTATCTACATAATCATCTAAATCGTCTATGATCCTTTTGTGCGTCTCCAGGAGCGGTTCCATCTCTGATATAGCGGTGAATAATTCGGCTCTCGCAAATAGTACATATGACAAGAGTATACAACATATTACAGGAAACATATTATTTACTTTAGGAACCATTTCGTAAAACTGAAACAATAAATATATATTTTGTTAATTATACCTACTAGTGGTCGACGGTCGACCATAATTAATTTATTCTCAATTAGATACATGCGTGCGTGTCAATACATAGTCGTGTATATAATGGTTTTTACTAATTTAATTTATTGTTTAAGCATAATTAATCAAATTTCATACTCCTCCGTCCGCGCAATTTTCGTACAAAGGGGTACAAAGTTTTCGTTTCACGTATTAATATAATGACTATTAATTAATAGAATAACTGTATGTATCTTAAGAAATATGACTAACTAACATAAATATGTTCATGACTATATAATCTCAAGTGGAATAATCAGTGGCATTGTTAATTATTAACGTTGTAATACACGTAAACGTAATTAAGTTTGATTGTTCTCGATGGTTTTTATTACCAGATATATTTGGAAAAATAAATTGACAGTAAAACCCTGTAACTAAACATACTTTTTGCGATTGTATTTTTTTTGCATTATGGAAACATAATACACATATGCACTTCTTTTGTTAACGACAGACAAAGCTGTTGAGTTCATTCCCATTCATTCTTTACAGATTTGAAAAAACCGGTATACCGTTATTTTCCAAACTATATGACAATGTTATCGATGCAATATGTAATATTATACAGACTTGCTAAGAGGGTTAAAAGTTTATATGGAACATACTAATTTTGATCTTAAGGAAAGTTGTTGTGTGAAAAAAAAATTGTTTTGAAGCTTTTGGTACATACCAAAGTTATTTTAGTTCAGTCATATCTAACATAAATATAGGAAATAAATAGAGAGCTAAGTAATGGCCTCGAACAGATAAAACCGTGATGAAATCCTAATAACCCTTGCAATAAAATTGAAATAATGCAATACAAATTATTATAACCTTATGAATTACAGATTCAGTGCATAATTAACATAAGGGTTTACGAAATTCTCACGGAACCTATTACCACGGAATATATGTGAATATTTTTTTCTTTCCATACGTTCATATTTTCAAAGGCGACAATAATGAACGCCAAAATAATAATCAATAAGCCGCGTGAATAAATAATTAAATTAATTGTATAATCCTCCAACATTTTTATTTTATGTAATAGGAATATACATATATAATAACAATAAAGCAAATTACCCAACAAGTAGGTGGTAATCGCCTATATTTTAACCAATGACACTCGTAATCGAAACATCACAAATTCATTGCCATTCCGGAAGGCCCAAGATATTATGGCTTCATATTCAGTAATTTCACTTCCTTACCATAGCCCACAACCGAAGCACAGCATTTGCTTTCTAAGAAGATGCTTTGTGGCTAAAATACAGAGACTGTGGTATCGACAAAGATGAATGTTTACAAAGTCTATGCCAATTAATTTCATGGAATCGTAACTTCTAGAATAAAAGTAATAAACAAATACTATCTACCATCTACCAATGTTTACAACATTTGCACAAACGATACGTATCTACTTATTATATTAATTATGCTGTACAGTTACAGTTGGAATGTAACTTATGTTTTTCCAGAAATTTCTAGTGGGCGACGATAACATTAAGAGCATGTTACCTACCTCGTCAGAATGAATATTTATTTATAATAATTTAAATTAAGTTATTTCATTTATTTATTAACTGAAATAAATTAGATCGTTGTATTTCTGGAAGTTTCCTAGTAGGGGCGATAACATTAACACGTACGTTATCAGAATAAACATTTCTTTATAATATTTTCAATAAAATTATTTTATTGATTAATTAATTGAAAAAAATTATTTTATTAGGTCGATTATTTTTAATAGTTACGGAAATCGGAACATGTGTGTTCCTCTAGATTATTCTAGATTGTGAACGTGACATATGAAGCGTACACATCCCGGCACAGTTGCGACTGGTGGCAATATCAATTATTTTTAATGATAAACAATGAGTGATATTTAGAGCGTACACTGAAATGACCGGTAGACTTAAATATATATGGTAACCTATTTGTAGAAAACTATTAATTGAAAAAAGTCTCGTCACTTCGTTTGAATTCTCTTGTTTCCAATGAAAACCAATATATAAAAATGTATTCCTTGTATGTAATTATTAAGCTTTTATAATATATTTGTGTTATGTATAAAATAAAACTGGGTATACTACAATAACGCATAAAGTACAAACGATTGGAGTCAAAAACTTTGAATTTTAAATCTAGGTTTCATTTATGACAAAAGCTTCTACAGCGATCGAAATTCACAAAATTCGCAGTGACGGTGAAGTTGCGATTAACAGCTAGTTAAATTTAACTTAACTAGTTAAGCTTTAACTTAATAAAGTTTGATACAAAATTCTGTTTTTGTTATTATTTTCCAACTTACCATATGTACCTATATAAAGTAATAGTAAAGGTCCGAAAAATTCACAAATTAATAAGAAAACAAAAAATTACTAGGTATATTTTATACAGAAAACACCCCGCACATGGTTAGCGATTTGTTTCGGAAACTATGTCACGTATGCGCCACTACAGTATTCAGGAACTGCGTATCGCGACCCGGATGATCGACGCACGAAATATCACTGCTAAAGCGAGTCAAAGACTACAATGATCTCACACTGGAAAGTCACTCACTACACTAGTCACTACGCTGGACGCAGAATCCGCTCTGCTCGGAAGCTAGTTACAATACAAGCCGGTGACCTATCTACAAACGCCAGCTTGGCCCTTGCGGTATAACTAACGCTTCCGTAATTTATGCATACATAATATAAATTAGTATGACAGCGATATAAATATCTATATTTAGCGAAAACCGTGCAAAAACTTGAGCGTTTTGGATATATTTTTAAGCATTATAGTGACTATTGTTCCCAACGATTATTTTTCAGAGTTCATTAACTTACAAATCGGCCATTCAATGGAAATACAACGGTCTTTGACGGTCATTGGTCGTTGACTCTAAAGGAGAGCATAATAACTACCAAATATTGCGCTTATCAAATGATATTTGTACTGTAGTTGAATAGTAATATACGTTCAAGACTGTCAATGGCTACTGGGGTAGTCACAAGCATTATTTTTGTTGAAGAAAACACTACACATTTCGCTGGATATATTTGAATTCAACGTGGCAACCAACTGTCTGTCGGATTAATTTGATTCTATATTGGTGTTGGCGTTTAAGTAATTATTGCAAGTGCTATATTTTGAGTAAAAAAAAACATCAACAAATAAATCCCCCAAATACAACACTATTACTAGAGCTAAGTTAAATATAAGTTTTAACTTTGTTCTAAGCAAAAATAAAGAATAATTCTTAGCGATAAACGGGGGCCAAACCCAAATCCCAGGGGTTGTTCCATTTATTCCATGGTCCGAAATAAACGGGTTACCCACGAGGCAACTCAACCTGCACGCGCCATGTAGTCGACCTGTAGTCAGTTTTGCGTAAACAAGATTGGAACTTCACGACTTTTCGGCGTATGTAGCCACCGCTAGGTCACGCCTCTCTTTACAATAAGACGTAGAGTCGGACAAAGCGGACGCTCAGTAAAAAAAAGGTTTTTATCTAACTTATTCTGTGTCCGAGTTGGGACTTTCAAAGAATGGAATAGGTTGCTAAATGATGGAGCAAATTATATAAAATTGTAGATATGGGGTCGTCTTTAACACAAACACACGACACAACTAGACTATAATTAAAATATGACAGAAAGGCATTTCGTGTCGGGCAGAAATAAATTTACGATCTATGTGATTTATGTCAAATGAGTGAACCACACAGCCACAATGATCTGAAAGAAATGACACTGTAAACTACAATGGTTTTTAAGTTGTTTTTTGATTGAAGGATGAGATAAGGCAGTAAACTTACAGGGCAATGGTTACCCCTTACTATCATGGAACTCAATTTATTGGACATTATGGTCACCATAAAGAAATATACTAAGGATTTGAGGCAATATTAATAGTAACAGAGAAATAGCACCACGTTATGTAACTCCAGTAAAAATATTACATTACGTTACTATATTAAAGTCAGGCAGCCTCCAAAGCCAGAAACTTTATAAGACTATACAAATATGGGAGCAATTCTGTCTGCACAATCAAAATGTTGATATATAATCACAGGCATCAGAAAGTTGCAACACTAAAAAAAATTATCAATAGGTAAATATATTTTTATTACATCTTTTCAAAGTACTCTCCACTAGCCTCTATACAAAGTTTCATGCATCTGAACCAGTTTTCGAAATTTTTTTCCAGTCTGCCGCAGACACCTCGTTTACAGCTTGCTCAAACACTGAGAGCGCATCAACCGGCGAAAATTGTATCCCTTTGAGCTGATTTTTTATTTTTGGGAATAAGAAGTCAGTGTTAGCTCAGGATTGTAAGGAGGATGGCGCAGGAGTTTGACCGGTGTGTTGTCTAGGAAGTCCCTCGTTTTGATTGCGGTGTGGGCAGGCGCATTATCGTGGTGGAGCAGTAGCCCGCGGAGCCCTGTGTTTGGTCGCTTGTTGCTCACAACAGAAAATTCTTCTACCTTGCATTTGGTAGTATACCATTCGGCGTTATGCTTCTTTCTTTGGTTTCGCAAAGGAATTGACACCAAGTAGCCAGTCAAATTGAAAAAGCTCGCGATTAAAATCTTCCCCCCGCTTCTAGGTCGCTTTACTTTGATGACCGTTGATTCGTTTTGAAACACTCAAACCGTCGACTGGCGCTGTGTTTCTGGATCGTATTGACAAATCCAGGATTCATCACCTGTAACGATGTCGTAAACACGCCGAGACGAGCCTGCTTCAAATTTATCTATTATATCATGGCACCATGCCACCCTTGCCTGCTTCTGAATATCGGCGAGGTTTTGCGGCATCCAGCGTAAAACTATCCTCCGCACGCATAGATGCACCTGTAGAATCTCGTGAAGACTTCCTGATCCAATCCGCAGTATATGCTGAATCTCTTAGTATGTAACTCATCTATTATCTTGTATCAAATTTTTCACTGCTGGCATGTTTTCATCCATAACAACGGTCAAGGGACAACCACTTCTTTTTTCATCCCCCAAAATTGGTATAACACGCTTAAATTCATTATACCAACGATACACGGTTGCCTTAGAAGGACCTTCATCCATGAATGCCATTTGAAGTCTATCATACAATTCGTCCAGTTACAGGCAACACTAAAATCGTAAAAAATAATAGCACGAAAATGTTCTCGACGTAAATCCATTTTTCAAAGAAACAGTAATTTTACTTAGCTCTCAAAAAATGTGGAGGGAAGTTTTGAATTTAGAACATACCTATTTTTACTTATAAGTAATATTATTTTTAAATTTTATTAAATAAAAAAAATAACTTGACATCCATGTCTACCGGGGAACCAACATACAGGCCATCTGATCCACATAAAATTGCGGACTTGTCTTGCGGAGACTTGTCTGGACAGTTCATCTGATCACAGCCCTCTTATCTTAACTGTTAGTGTTAACATAATAGTTCGGGAAAGACCAGAAATCATCTGCAATAAAAATACAGACTGGGACTCATAAAGAGAAAAACTTAATGCTGAATATCTCATTAAAGACTACCAACGAAATCGAAGAAGCTACTAAATATATAACAACTATGATCCAGGAAGCTTGCTGGAGAAGTACCCCACATCTAAAATACCAGGAAGCATTTACAAACTGGCCACTCGAAATAAAAAATAAAATTCGCGAGAAACGTCGTTTACCAAGAACTCAGTCCTAAACCAAGATCTACAATTAGACCTCCCAACAAAGCCTGTAACTGTATGAGAGCTTTGGAGGACCATAAAGTATCTTAAAGATAAAAAGGCTCCTGGTTTTGATCTTCTCACCAAAGAAGTGCTATGCCAATTGCCAAAAAAAAGCTGTAATTTTTCTAACCATTCTGTTTAATGGTATAAGAGTTCAGCACTTTCCTGAGCTATGGAAGGTCTCAACCATCACCATGATACACAAACCTGGAAAACCTTCTCAGGAAGCCGCATCCTATAGACCCATTAGCCTCCTTCCAATCTTGTCCCAGCTTTTTGAGAAGATACTTCTGCGAAGAATTCATCCTCAACTTCCACAAAAACAAAATATTCCTGATCACCAGTTCGGTTTCCGGCATCAACACTCAACTGTAGAACAGGTTCACAGGGTCTGTGATAGAATTCGAATGACTCTCGAAAACAAAAAATACTGTTCGGCTGCTTTTCTTGACATACAGCAAGCGTTCGATCGGGTATGGCATGAGGGACTACTGTATAAAATCAGGAATAACCTGTCACACAGTTATTACCTCCTACTAAGATCTTACCTGCTACAAAGACTCTTTCAGGTAAGGGAATCTGGAGAAACATCATCATTCTATGAGATCAAAGCTGGAGTGCCACAGGAGTCAATTCTCGGTCCTATGTTATACCTCAAAAACCTGCCTGTTCTATAGGTTGAAATTTGTCAATGTCTTTTGTTACACGTCCGGGTGTTCGTTCAGGTTTTAGTACAATGGATCATATACAAACATTGGAACAGACAATAGAAAAATATAATGAATTTAATAGACCTTTATACTTGCCATTTATCGACTATAATAAGGCCTTTGATAGCATTAGTCACAACGCTATATGGGCAGCATTGAAAACGTTTGACATTAATGAAAAATACATAAATATTCTGAAATATATATATATGCAAATAGTACTAGTAGAGTAAAATTAGAGACTAGGGGAGATATAATAAAAATCGAAAGGGGAGTCAGACAAGGCGATCCCTTGTCACCTAAATTGTTTATTGCTGTATTGGAAAATATATTTCGGAAATTAAAATGGCAAAGTAAAGGTATAAACATAAATAACTCTTACCTAAGTCATCTCAGATTTGCAGACGATATAGTTGTACTGGCTGAGACACCGAAAGAGTTGCAGACCATGCTAGATATGCTGGATCAAGAAAGTTCCTGCATAGGTCTCGAAACAAATTCGAACAAAACTAAAATAATGACTAATAGCCTAGAAATACCTATCAAAGGAAAAGAACATAAAATTGAATATGTAGACCAGTATATATATTTAGGTAAACAAGTATCATTTAACAAATTAAATAACGACGAAGTAATAGGAAGGAGATGTAATATAACATGGAAAAAAATTTTGGTCACTTAAAGAAATTTTCAAAAGTAACTACCCCATATACATGAAGAAATTAGTTTTTGATACATGCCTTTTGCCCTGTTTAGTATATGCCAGCCAAACATGGATCTTTACAAAAAGAACATCACAAAAAATTTTAACAACACAAAGAGCAATGGAGAGATGTTTACTGGGAATAAGAAAGAAACATAAAGTAAGAAGTGAAAAAATTAGACTGCAAACGAAATTAACCGACGCAGTCAACCATGCCCTGCAACTCAAATGGCAATGGGCAGGTCACATCTCACGTGTTACAGATGGTAGATGGACTATTAAAGCTACAAAATGGAAAGGACCAAAGGGAAATAGGAAAGTTGGAAGACTAATAAGACGGTGGGCTGATGATATTGTAGACTATATAGGAAAAAACGAGACGAGAGAATATTGGAAAAAGATGGAGGAGGCCTTCACCCAAAGAGGGGTCAATATCCACAAATAATATAATTATAATTATAATATAATACTATAATACTAACAAAGAAATAAAAAAAAAAAAAATTACTAACAATTTATTTTTATTTATTTTTTTATTTGTACAAACTTCTGGATGGTTATGGAAATAAAAGGCTTTATTATTATTATGTTATACCACATAAATACAACGGACATTCCGGAAGTGAAAGAAGTCACTATAGCCACCTTTGCGGGTGACACTGCATTGCTAGCTAGTAATAAAATACCTGACAAGGCTTCAACCATTCTCCAGAATGGCCTGGGTCACATCTATAGGTGGTTGCAAAGATGGAAAGTCAAGACCAGCATTACAAAATCTGTCTAAGTCACCTTTACTGTAAAACTAGGAAATTGTCTACCAGTACGATTGGGAGATTATGCTCTACTACATAAGGACAATGTTAAGTATTTTGGATTACACCTTGACCGCCGTTTGAATTGGAGGGAACATATTAAAACCAAGAGAGAAGGCTTAATGATTTGCTTTAAAAACCTTTACTGGCTTATGGGTCGAAATACAAAACTGTCTATTGACAATATACTACTAATTTATAAGTCCATTCTAAAACCTGTATGGACATACGGCTTACAACTTTGGGGAAGTGCGTCAAAGTCAAATATCAAAATCATTCAAAGGGCCCAAAATATTATACTGAGAACAGTATCGGGTGTCCCTTAGTACATCACCAACAACGAAATTCACAAGGAACTTGGCGTACTGACAGTAAAGGAGGAGATCCTCAATTGTAAAGAAAAATATAAAAAGTGACTATGTAAACACCCAAATCAACTGGCTGCTCAATTACTACAAATACATTACACCAAGCGACTAAAAAGAAGTGACATTGTGTAATGTTTGCAGTATGCTTAAGGAGTAGAATCTCCCGCTGGGGTGGACACTCCATTCTTAGATCCCACACCCAAAAAATCTGCTCATAGTTCTGGGACTGATTGCAAATAGAAAGAGTAAAAAAAAATTTTTTAAATAAATTGTAACTGGCCACTCTCACATACATAAAAACATTTTCCCACAATACTTTCTGAGTGACCTGGTATATATATCTAATTGATATGTAAATCCTGATGGTGATAAATATATAAATTATATGATTGTTCCAAGATAAATTCCACAAGATTTGTTAAAAATCAGCAAAGATACAAAACAGGATTTTGGTGTGTAGAAAAATTTATCAGTGTATGTGGTTGTCCAATTGAATATTGAAAGAAAAAAGATAAGTAAAGTTGCTGAAATTAATAGGCCTCTCATTCTAAGGGAGTAATATTAACACACAATAGTATCTTTGGTGGAATATATATTCATGTAAAGCAAAGGTCTACTTATTTCCTATATTGATTAAATAAAGATTTTTTAAAGATAAATCATTAGGAGGTAATATAAATGTTGAAGTTATTATGAAGCATTGTTTTGAAATATTAGCTTGGGAAAAATTAACAATTGTTTCAGGTTTTTGAACATTAAAAGCAGCCTAGTAGTAATAGTTTCTCGAAATACATATTGTTTTTAGTATTAATAAAGAAAGTTTGTAATCACGTTTTTATTTGGGCAATTTAATAAAACAAACAAGTATTTCAGTGTTTTTAAAAATTCTATATGTAATCTGCAAAGCCACAGCGTTCATGTACTCATAATACAAATTAATAATAGTATAATACTCTTCAACGAGAGGTACTCACCGATTACAGTCACCCTTTTAATATTAAATATTTCTTATAATTTGTTCTTGCAAGAAGAATAATGCATTATTTTGTTTTGTCTACATGCCAAGTGCATTTAATTTTTATGGAATATACATGAAAATTTAAACCCATGAAACTTTTATTTGTTCAGTATCAAAATTGTTTTATTCAATACCACAAATATAAATATTTAATACAACAAATTAACTACAAATATACCTACTAAAGAACAAATTTTCCTATATATAATAAAGTACTCTGTGGAACAGATCGACAGACTTATTTCTTTTATGACAAATACAGTCAGTTAAGACTATGTGATCTGTGTAAAATAACTTACAATACTCTGTGATAAAAGGTTTCTTATTCTTTTTTATATATTTTTGATGCCAAATGAAGGAATATTTCCAAATATAAGGAAATTTGTTAGCTATGGAGGAAATTGTCTAAGATAATGAAGGATATTATGTTAGGAAAGCATATTAAAGTGTAGATAAGAAAAAAATTAAAATAGTAAGCTAAATAACAACAATTGAATTGAATCCATTACGAAATGGTCACGTCATATATAGTACTAGCTGTGCTTGCGTTTTCACCCGCATAAAATATATAGTCTAGCCTATATGTTATTCTGATATACGCTATATTACTGTAAAGTTTCTTCAAAATCCGTTCAGTGAAAGAGTTACCAACATCCATCCATACTCACAAACTTTCGCGTTTATTATATTAATAAGATGTTAGTATTAACTGTAATGCTTATATTTATTTATATTTTCTTCAAATTCAGAACTTTGGTAGGGTTTTAGCAAAATTATAGGTGAATTCAAAATATTCTAATGGTAACATTATTTTGACAAAAAAAGTGATAGACTGTCATTTTAAGTCATATGTGTCATTTGTTGTATGTGAACTGTTGTTATCTACATTCATTAATTAACCTCTAACTTACCTAACCTTAATAAATACTTTTTATTTACTTGAAACATGTTTTTTTGCGCAGCATTTAAATGTTTAATGAATTATTAATTAATGAATAGGACTCGTATAGTAATTGAAACTAGTGAAGCTTAAAATATAACAACCACGATGTCGGAACTAAAAATAAAAGTGATTAGTCGCAATCCGGACGATTATTTACGTGCTACTAAAAAAGATATTCAGAAATGTAGGTACCACTGCCAATGTTTAGTTTGCTTGTAATACTTTATTGTACAATAAAATTTAGTTTATGCATACAATGAACTTCTTAAGTAAATTCCTACAAAAGCTTTATTTATTTTGTTTTTCTTAAGTAAATTTGTGCAAAATGTTTTATTACCTATATTGTTATTTATGTTTAGAAATAATTAAATAATATTATTGTAATCTTACTTTCTCCATGTAGATTAAACTGGAATAATTTATTATTCGTCTATTATTAGTTTTCGTCATATTTATTATCTGTTCATTTGCTGCTCCATTATTTAGTTATTTTACCAAATTATCATCATTACTTGATGTTTAAATTTTAAATGAGATAATTGTGTGTGGAAGAATATTATTAATTACTTAATTATTTCATTGATATATACCATTATAAAATACTAATACAAAGCTAAGTAGAGCTTGTGTTATGGGTATTAGACAATGGATGTAGATATACAGATATATTTCTAGTTGTAAATACATTAATAAAAACTTATATAAATAGTCATACACAATATAAGTGTTTGTACTGTGAGCTGAATGTGTACTGTGAATCAAACCAACAATTCATTTCAATTAACCATTGAAAGTAATCTGATGTGCCAAACTGCTGGACATAAAATATAAATGAATTCAATTAAGTATACTTAAATATTTTTACTTTATGAAATACGCTCTGAATATTTTTAGTAAAATATTCTGAGGATTTCAATACAGGAATGTGTAATGACTTGAAGGAAAGCAGTTAGGTCATTGGTGTACTACCCAAAATGAATGATGTTGCTTTGTTGTTTAATTTTCAGTGCCTAGAAATTATGATCCAAGTCTACATCCAATGGAGGCGCCAAGAGAATATGTGCGAGCATTAAATGCTGTTAAATTGGAAAGAGTATTTGCAAAACCATTTATTGGTAACCTTGATGGCCATACAGATGGAGTTTCTTCCATGGCCAAACATCCCAGTAGGCTTGCAGTACTAGCTAGCGGAGCTTTTGATGGAGAAATCCGAATATGGGATTTAGCTACACGCAAATGCACAAGAAATTTTGTGGCACATGAGGGATGGGTACGTTCTATTTGTTACACACCAAATGGAGAAACATTTACAAGTGTTGGTGATGACAAAACTATAAAAACCTGGAAATCAGAAATTCAATCATCAGATGATGAGGAACCTGTGAATACACTACTCAGTATGTCTGTTGTTAGCGGTGTGACACATCACCGATCAAAACCAATTTTTGCTACATGCGGTGAACACTGCCAACTATGGGAAAATACAAGAAATGAACCTATCAAAGTTTTCAAATGGGGTGTTGACAGCCTTCATCATGTTGCTTTTAATCAGGTATGTTTGAATAGTAGTAGTTCTTATTTTTGAAAATATAATAACCAAACAAAACAGTATCAGGAAATTTTAGCTGTTGTGCAGGAATAGGTGGTGACCGCATCAGTTAAATATAACAAAGTATAATATACAAGTTTTGCTAAGTTACATGTGACATATTAGTATAGATATAACATTGCATTAAAGTAAATACATACATACCTACCTAACTAAAGCATTATTTAATACATATTAAATAATACAACTCAACATATTATTTATATTTACATAGTTGGATGTATACATATGTAAATAGTAATCTAATTTAATAATTGTTAGTATTTGTAAAAAGCTATTTATAATTTCCAATTACAGGTTGAAAAGAATCTATTGGCTTCATGTGCAAGTGACAGAAGTGTCATTCTGTATGATTGTAGAGAATCAGGTCCCCTAAGGAAAGTGGTGCTAGAATTAAGATCAAATGCACTTTCTTGGAATCCCATGGAGGCTTTTATATTTACTGTTGCTAATGAAGATTACAAGTAAGTTGTAGTTTTACATTGTAACTTCACATATGCTAGATTGTATGGGAGATCATCAAAAATATGCTCATATTTGATAATGTAATTATAATAGCTTTTTAAAAACATGTTATACAGGGGCATAATTATATACTTTCTATTTCAGTTTATACACATTTGATGTTAGGAAACTAAATTATCCTGTAAACATACATATGGACCACACATCAGCTGTAATTGATGTGGACTATTCACCCACAGGCCGTGAATTTGTTTCTGGTAGTTATGATAAAACAATAAGGATATTTGAAAGTCTTAAAGGACACTCACGAGATGTTTATCATACCAAGAGGATGCAGAGACTGACATGTGTGAAGTGGTCACTGGATAATAAATATGTACTCTCAGGATCTGATGAAATGAACATAAGACTATGGAAAGCCAAAGCATCAGAAAAACTTGGTGTGGTAAGTACCAAAATATTTGTCAATTCCTATTTGTCAGATATAGTAGGGTAACATAATTAATATAATTCATATATTATTATGTTTTATAACTAATCAAGTTAAAAACTAGTAAGCATGGTAGGAAGGGGATGAAGTCACCATAGCCCATTGTATTAAACATAATAAGTATTATATTGTAAACACAGAGATTTAGGTTTTCGTATTTATCAATTTTCAGCTGAAACCTCGTGAACGTACTGCATTAAACTACGCAGACGCTCTAAAGGATAAATTTGCGAATCATCCACAAATAAAGCGCATTGCACGGCATAGACATGTACCAAAACATGTCTACAATTCACAGAAAGAACTCAGAACGATTAGAGAAAAAGCTAAAAGGAAGGAGGCCAACAGACGCGCTCACAGCAAGCGTGGAGCGGTGCCGCACGTTGCTGAACGTAAAAAGCATGTTGTTAAGGAAGATGAGTAAATTGTGGAAATTGTTAAAAAAAACTTGTTCTGATTTATTCTCAGTTTGTTTCTTCTTTATTTTATATGGCTGCCACCAGTTTTGACAGACGATTCTGGCGTTATGGTTTAAGAGTGTTATTTTGTAGCTGTGGCATATTTTAATTTTCTCAGTAAAATTTGAAAATTTTGTTCGGGTTCGGGTATATTATAATTAAACTCTACCTACACCTGAGGGACAGTAAATAAAATTTTAGTAGGGCTTTCATTATTAAGTAAACAACACTAGTTAGTAGTACAATACAGACACATACAATATCAAATTGAGGGGAGGAGTCAGTTCAGAGTTACAATTTCAGATTATTGTTAAATATAAATGTGGCTAGTATTATGACTATGGAGTTCATGGGGTACGATATCCCAAAGTTGGACTGATAAATTTTGGGCAGTTGAAGAAAATATGTTCCATAGTTCCTTCACCCAAGCCACATTCGCACAGTGAGTGATAACGAACTCTGATTTGATCAGTTTATTTATAGGCCCGTTCATATTTATGAATAACGAAGTACTGCCAACCAAGGAAACATACAACTAGAGCTCGTTTAAAATTAACTTAACGTGTTGTACTGTAGAGCATTTGACGAAAGAACGGTAGAGACTACTGCCACCATTTATCATCTAGTTCTGTGAAATAAACTGACAAATTTTGTTCAGGAAATTGTCAAAATGACAAATTCTCGATGAAAATCGACTTGCCGATTCCGTTGTTATGGGCAAAGTACTGAGTGAAACAAAAATATATTATATTACTTCGTATAATTCTATAAACATTGCACATTATATCACAGACATAGATTTAAATAGATGTCGTAACTTCAAAGTTTTCAGATTTTTGATATATAATATATACTACAGACTACAGTGTTTTAAAGTCCTGGTAATTCTATTCGTAATGAAGTATTATTTATTAAAATCTTCCACTCCCCTGTTATAGACATAGAACCTAGTTTCTTTATATAAGACACTATTAGCGAGAATTAAGATAAGAGCTCAAAGTCAATGCTATTTTTGTCTACAAGATTTGTGGGCATTAGTTTGATATTGGTCTTCACACTTGCGTCTTTGTACTAACGCTTAACAAGGTCAAAGTTGATACAGGGTATATGTATTCACGGCATTTATTTAACTATATATCTGTGGTTACACATCACTTAATAACTATGTTCAAGATAAATGGCTTAACTAGGATAAAGTATGGTACTATATTATATATGGGATTATACTTTATAATATCAAGTTAGTATATCATATATAAGTGACTAGTGTACATAATAGATATTCACAAATTCTCAATAACTCTATTGAGTATTTGGATAAACCAATAGATAAAGTGCACCAAACAGTTTACTCTCAAAGTAATTCAACTGCTCGATATATTTAAACAGATTTGAAAATGAATTTAAACAAATTTGCACTTACAAGCAAAATTGTGTTGCTTATAATCTATATAAAATTATTGAAAATGGTGCTAATATAAGTATTGGCAAAACTTGTAGATTTCAATTTGTTTTTTGAACAATAGCTTTATATAAATAAGCTACAGATATTTTACAACTGGAGTGTATATAAATAATTATTGTAATGGCAGTGAAGAAACCTTTGAAGTTTATATTATCTTGATTATTCGCTATAAGTTTTTAAACAATAATTTAATTTTTCAATTTAACCAATCAATAATGAATATTGTATAATTGTTTTAACAATTGATTGATAACGGAATAATGATAGCCTTTATCTTTTTTCCAATTTCGTTATATCTTAGAAAGGATTATACAGGCCGATTGAATTAAAATAGCTTTTCCTGTGTCGATTCGATATTGTTGCAGATCTTTTGATATTGATGCAGTTCTGGTGATTACTCCCAACATGAAACACATTATATATGTTAACATGTTTTACTTTAATTTTCTTGATTATGATAATGCTCTCTAATTCACAGAGTTCTGCACTGCATGCGAAAAGTTTGAATTAAAGATAGTTGATAATGCTCTCTAATTCACAGAGTTCTGCACTGCATGCGAAAAGTTTGAATTAAAGATAGTTATATTATGGCATGTGAGCCAGGAGCAGCCAATTTAAACAATGTTCTCAGAAATGTAGACAACCTGTTAAAATACATTTCCTAAATAAGAACAGATATTAACTTTAAAGTTATAGTGCATAAGTAGTATATTTATCAGAATATATTAAATTTGGGAGGGCCGTGCTCCTCAACCCACCCTCGGAACCGCAGCTGGCTTTCACTAGGCTTCATAATATAACTGGTAAGAGGAAATGATGGACAAAATAAGGCTCTAGCTCTCGGACTATAAGGTTTGGCACAAGGATACACTGTAAAAATGTTAGAAGTAGAAAACTTATCTAGTTTTTATCAAAATCATAATATACAGATCTAGTATTATATATTAGGAGTAATCACAGTCAACGACAATTGTTTATAATGTAAAGTCACACAGACAATTTGATAAATATCCGCCGAAACCTTCCCACATTATACACTGGGTTAAAAAAAATCCTATACTGATAATACATAGGTTCTATAGAATCTGATGTATAAGCTGTGTACATGATTCCCAAATTTATAGTATTAAGTTAGTATTAATAAAATGTAGGAAATCACGAAATTTCTGAAAGGCGCTATTAATATTTGTTCAACTTGTATAGATAGAGAGCTAGATTATTAACCCCTCTTCATTTCTATCAGTGACTCAAGTCTCAACCAGCTTGGTTATTAGGTCTGCTGATGCGATTTGGAAGAGTCATCATTTGAATGTCTAATCTGTAATATAATTAAAGATTTTAAATTATTTATTGCAAGTAATGACAAAAATAGCAATAAAAGGAAACAATTAATTACTGTCATATGGTCTTTTTGGAATGAATAAGCCAAACAAGTCACCACAAAACAACAAGGATAAAATATATAAATCATGGATTTATTTACAAATTGTTATAATAAGCAGGTAACAAAACAAAACACTTACATAATATCCCGAGGCAGACCTGTTTGATCAAGCTGGTGTTCCAGCACAGAGAGTATACTAAGAGTTTTGAGTGTTGGAGAGTAATCCAGTATGTGGAGATCACTATTGTCAATCAACCTCTCTGGGTTATTATCTGTGTCATCTACATCAGGCCGATTGCTTGTGTGAGGGCAAGGACTGCAAACAAATTATTTATTGTTATTTAGTCAGTATAGATAAAAAAATATGCACAAATAAATCCTACAAATATGAAATATTTTTTAGGATTAGCTCAATTCTAGTTACTCTAAGTATATTAGAACATACTTTAACTTTTTCTTTTGGATTTATGTTTATTTGTTTGTTACAGTTCTATATTCCAGAACCCATCCAAAAGTAATAACTAATTTTAGGCTAAGGAGTATTATATGAAATGGGTAATTTTGTATATTACAAACCAGCGTTTTATTAATATCTTGAAATAGAAAAATAACCTTTATTCAAATAAACTTTAATATAAAATAAAAAACAAAAATGAAAAAAGATCAAGTCCATAGAAAATTGATTGATATGTACTGGCTAGTGGGGAAACAATTTTCATTAATTGAAAATAAACTCTTCATCTGGAGCACCCATGTGGACATTTGCTACGGAACTATGGTCATCGACTTAAACCTAGACAAAAAAGTTCTCTCCTAGCATTTGGAAATATTAAATGAGGGGCCATTTAATATTTCCAAATGCTAGCTAGGCGAGAACTTTTTTGTCTAGATGGATAGTTATTTATATCCAGTAATTTCAAAGTGCAGTGTGCCTTATCTTCTAATGTTGAAAACACCACAAAATCTGATTATAGCTGTAATGGCTGATTGCAGATAGAAAAGAAATAAATAATAAAAAAATTAAAATAAACTTAACATAAGCCCTTTTGATAGTCATCTTTTTGATTTTACTATTTATTCAGAACACAGACTCATCACAAGAACAATCAAGAAATTTGTGTATTGCTCATTTAAATAAAAGCTGTTCAGAATTACATTATGAATTGTGTGTGAATATACAATATATAACATATATATCATTTATTAATAATGCCATTATTAATAAATGATATTTGAAACCTTAACTTACCTTGTTCCACCAAACAGATACACTTTATCCCTGTAGATTAAACTTGCCTGACGTCTCCTCTTGCATGGAACAGAACCACCCACATTAATGTTTTCCCAACGGTTCTCCTTTATTGAATATCTATTAAGATCATTGAAATGAGTTTTAGTATCTCCATTGAAACCTCCAAAGATATACATGAAGTCTTTGTAAAGCCCTGGAAACATATACAGCAATATATCATATTACTAGCTCCCCACCTTCACATGGGTATACATGTATTATACATATAAACCTTCCTCTTGAATCTCTATCTATTAAAAAAAACCGCTTCAAAATCTGTTGCATAGTTTTAAAGATTTAAGCATACATAGGGATAGACAGTGACAACGACATTGTTTTATACTATATTAATGATTATTATAAAGACGAAAGTTTTTGAATGTTACTAAATGTATCATTCAAAAACTTTCTAGTATAAAATGTATTACTAGTTCTCACAAAGTACTAAATGGATATTTTATGAATTTTAATAATTTAACTTATCACTATAGCTATAATTTATTAATTTTCTTTAAATTTAATAAAAACAATGATATGCATTAATTGTCAAATATGCTGAAATAACAAGACAATATGAATTACTAGACTTACAAGCTGAATGGCTGCGTCTGCCTTCAGGCCATGGTCCAGCTGGTTCAGCAACTACCCATTTATGTTCTATAGTATCTAAATAGTATACTTTGGGACAGTATTCCTCATCTAAGTTACTGTATGGGCTGAAGTCACCACCTCCTCTGCCTCCAAACACATACATTCTATCATCATAAGCAACAGCAGTGTGGAAATCACGATATGATGGAGGAGAACCTCGGGTATCAATGAAAGTCCATTTTAAATTATCCAGATCTAAACAGTGTACATCCTGTGAATATCTGTCACTGGAGTATTCAAACCCTCCAAAAATGTACATTTTATTTTTTATAACACATGCTGAATGCCCATCTTTAGCATATGGCACTATGCCTGATACAGGAGGTGTACTCCATTCTAATTTTTTTGTATCAAAACATGATAGTATTTCACTGGCCACAGAATTATTTCTGCCTCCCCACATAAAAACCTAAAATTGAATTAGATTATATTTTATGCACTTTTACATTAATCATAACAGGTATAAATACTTGGAAATTTGTTTTAAAATAGGTAATTTTAAAATTATGCTATGTGAGAGCACTAGTAAACTGCTATGTGAAAGTAACAATATAATAAACAATAATTTACTTGTAAAATAAGTTTTGTAATTATTCAGAACTGAAATATAAAACATATTTCAGTTAAACAAAGAAATAAACATCAGGGATTAAAATTTGAGTGTTTGACAAAATGTATGTTGTAAACTCTGCATATATTTTTATAGATTTATATTTTTCCATTAATTTTAAATGTTTTTTCTTTATAGAATTTTCAAATATTTTTCATTGTCACTTTTGCCTTGCTACTAGTATCTTTATTATAGGTATTTACCATTTTCTATCCATTGTTTGATTTTATCAGGCATACATTCCATTCATTCTATCGCACACAATAAAAATATATTACTTATATTTTAAAAATGTCAGGGCCGCAATACCTCAGCTGGTCGACAAGAGAGTGTAGAGTACTGTAGAGTTACTATCTTCAGAAGTGAGAGAACGATTAAGAAGATATTTTAAAAATAGGAAATTTCCAACTATTTGCAAATGACCAAATACTTACTCTGTGGCCATAAGCTACTGTTGTATGTCCATATCTTTGAAAAGGTACTAGGTTGGTCTTTTTATAATTAATAGGAGCCCATCTAAGAGTTGTAGTGTTCAAGACATGAACTGGAATTGGTTCCCAATCTTTATATTCTTCAGACGAGCAATATCCACCAAAAGAATAAATTTTGTCTTCAATACAAACTGCAGCATGATTTACCCGCATTGGACCGCCTTCGATATGCACCGTCCATCGCATTTTAGATTTGAGTTTTGTAATAAAATGTATTCAGAGTACTTATTTTATCAAAGTGGTCTATAATTTTTCCAATCTACAAAGAAATAGAATCCCTTCAGTTTTAAAACTAAAAAGCACAGATTATACACACTTACTAAAAGTATGAAAACCACAGATTACATGGAGATGTGAACTGAAAGCGGGCGGCAGTGTTGCTATATTTTTCTAAAATTATTGCCCTAAATTCCATTCAAATTCCGTTAAGAAGAAAAATCCCATAAATAAAGAAGTACATATATACCTATAAGCAGTAATTTTCCATAAAAGTCCCAAATTATATAACCTGACAGGTATTTCATTTCTATGAAAGAAACTATAAAATACCTATACATGTAATGATCGAGATAAGTATTTTATAAATAAATTATACGAGTTCACTGTTTAATTTTCACATTTTCATTCCTCTAATATAGATTATATTAGAGAAATGAAAATGTAGAAAGTAGGATAAAATAGAAGATAGTCAAATTTGTACCTGTTAAGACTAGTATCTATTGATATGTACATTTACGACTATTTTCCATACTGAAGTATCTACTGTTTCTATCGCACTAATTACATTTAGCTCATTATTGAAAATAACATTTCGGTAAAACAATGTGGTAAATGGGTCCGAAACCGAAGTTTCGTGGAGTCTTCGTCATCATTTTCAAACTGAAAAGTGTTGTTGTAGCCGACTATAAATCGTAGACGATCATAAATTAACTGTTGCGGATTAATAACTGACTTAGGAACGCACGTATCCATAATAAATGCATTCCATACTTTGTAACAGGTAGTACCTACTTAAGATGTTAGGTAGTCAACACCTCAAAAAATTGTGTACTTTGTGTTAAAATCACAAATTATGATGACGACTTAGGCGTGATGCCGGTTGGCTAGGGCGAGAAACTCCAAGTAGCGCTCGAGACTTCTGACATGGGTGTAGATTTAAAAGACCCTTTTAGAATATTTTTTTTTATAACACGGGACAAACGAGCATGCTGCTCACCTGATGGTAAGTGATTACCGCCGCCCATGAGCACCCGCAACACCAGGGGAATTGCAAGTACGTTGTCGGCATTTTAAAAAACTTGTGTCTTCTTGTGGTCAGGAAAATTGAACACAATTTTCCTGACCTCAAACCGAAACTTGATGGAGTGAAGTTTCGGATTCGGACACAAGTTTGTTCCGGTACTCTATAACTTTTGCCTGCGACATATTAGCATGGCCGTTGTACAAGGCATCTCCGGTACTGTCATCCGCATAGCAATGAATGTTGTTGATTTGTAACATGTCATTGATATGCAGAAGGAACAGAGTCGGAGACAGCACACAACCTTGTTGAACACCAGCATTAACAGAGTGTGGGTCGGAGCAAGCACCATCGACAATGATCTTGATGCTCCGATCAGCGAGAAAGCTGGCGACCCATTTGCATAACTTCGCAGGCAGAATGCATTAACCTTTTAGAATCACCTTCACTACTTGTGGTTTCCTACCAGTCCCAACTAATAACAATGCCTACAATGTTCACAATTACGTATCTCTTATTTGTTTGATAATAATAAAGACTCCAACCTTTCGCTCCAAAACTTCGGCTACGTCATTTCAATCCACCCATCAATCAACTTGTCAATGTCACAAAGATTATTTAGGCTCTCGCCTCTGCCGTTTCGTTTCAGGTAACTTTGAATGTCTTAGATAAAGAAGCATTATTGACTTTACCATTTTTAATTAATGGTACCTATCACGGTAGTTAGCATATGGAATCGTTAGTTAACTATGGTGTTAGCAATGTACTATGTCAGGTTGTCCTCCACGTGTTATAAATTCACGGGGCGATTCACCCCCCATAGTTATAAATTCTTGATGAATTTGTAACGATTGGCTAACTGACATGACCTCATGCCCATCTTATCGACATCCATTTCTGCCCCGCCAGCGAAAGCTGATAACTCTGTGAGATGTAACTCCATTATACTTAACATATTTTCAAAAAATTGGAATTCGCGACACGGTATCGGCAGATAAACAGTCAATATATTTATTGGACTAAAACCACGATATACAACTAGTGGCTATAGATAGATAAGTTTAAAGATATCTGTATGTCTATTTTCCTGCCGCTTCTAAAGTACAATGCTAATGTATCTTGTGGAGTAATGTTATACTTTTTTCATCAACACGAAAGCAATAGGCGTGATCTTTCAACGCCAGGCGGTGTTAGGGCGCGAATCATTTGTTATTATTTCTCTCACGCGTCGAGTTTCCAAACAAATTGTATTGTAACTGACAATATGAGCGATTATTGTTCGATTTGATATAAACGTTCCCTTCGAAAGCAAAGATTTTATGGGACGTCTATCCATCTATAGAATACCTTATAACAGAATTTTATATTCACTACTTTTGTATTTTTCAAGACAGTTAAATCACAGATAACATGATGTTACATAGTTAAACCATGCTGCCTAGAATGGATACGGAGACGGTACCAACTGTATCTTAACGAACAAGTGAAGTTCCATGAGTTCTTAGTAAAAATTTCAGTTTATTCGTTCCTTCTGAAGTTAGGGAGTTACAATAGAGATTTCCCCACATTACAGGTCTTGTTAGTGTCCTCACGACAGTGTCGTGATCACAGAGACAATATCACTGGAACATTATTTTATTTTTCATAATTCATAAGTCAGTCTTAAAGGTAGATAGGTGTTTATTATATAAGTATTATAAGTCGCAGGTTCGGCCACACACGGAGTGCTTCTCTCATCTTTGGGCAGGAGTAGGTATCTGAATACCAGCTCGGTTCTTTTGACTCGGTTTAGAAACGTGATCGAATTATCGATGATTCCAATCGAGCCACTTAGCTTGAGGCGAGACTTCGTATTGCTTTTTGTGTCCTACCGAATATATATCGGACTGTGTTCTGAAGAATTGTTTGACATGATGCCTACTGGTAGCCGTACCTTTTACTATCGCATCGCTCGCCATTGACAGGGAATTCATCCCCACATGCTGGAACATATAAGTGGTCTCGGATAGTGCGGTTTCAGAGGAGCTTCAGTGTACGCGGGAGACACTTAGATTGTGGAATGAACTCCCTGCCGAGGTTTTCTCGATAAACTACAGCATGGGATTTTTCAAGAAGGGTTTATTAAGGTTCCTTAAGGGTCGGCAACGCACCCCTGGTGTTTCAGGCCTCCATAGGCTACTGTAACCATTTACCATCAGATGGGCCGTATGCTTGTTTGCCATCTACGTGGTATAAAAAAAAACAATATTAAGTTGCTTGCAATAAAAATATATCTATTAGATATTATTAAAAATAATTATATATCACCAATAATATTTTTCTATTACTGTTGTAAAAGAAGAACTTAGTTTAAATAATTATAATTCTTTGTGGGATTGGAACCCAAAATGTTGTCTGCAGTAATTAAAATTGCCAATATTGTCTTCAATAAATAACACTTGCGAAGCTTTGGTAGAAGCTTTCTACAGCATGTCAATTGATTATACATAGATAATTCGTAATTACAATAAGTATTCATAAAGCATATCCACATACGAACGTAATGTAACCACATCTAGATAACTGAAATAGTTATAGATATGTACGTTTTACAGAATGACTTACAAAATAACAACTAATCTGCATAAGATGAAAAATCATTGTATAAAGTGAACTCGATGATATCTACGACAAGAAAATATATTTTTCTTTCGGGGGTGGTGCGTGGTGGCGGTGGGTGAGGTGACATGTACAGTGACGTATAGAAAGCGCATTGGCGATGACGTCCGCTCTATAAATCATATTTCGGGATAGCAATCGTCCGTCCGCCCGTTGGCTTTTCTCGTTTTTTGTCTGACTCCTAAACCGTTAACTGTGTGATAGAAGGGGTGGCGACATGTGTTGCGCCCCGTGAACTTATTGTTCTCTACTGCGTCTTGATTATTGACACGAGCTGTAATGTGAAATTAATCGTTTTAAAAAATACAGATAAAAGTTTACGCCTAACTGTAATTGTATCTACCTATACGAACAATACGTTCTAATTTAAAAGTTGACACTGCACTTGTTAAAATTTAATCTATGTAATTAAGGAACCTGTTGTGCAATGTTTTAAAAGCTTCACTTGAAAAATAATTTCCTAAGTTTTATACTTCATATATTTCTATAAGTCAAACGACAAGGAAAAATAGTTACAGCTATTTTAATATAAGAGCTTAAGGGTAGTACGGCCTGGGCCCATGAACTCATGGAGGTCGTAGAAGACCGATATACATGACTCTATTTTTAAATATATATCTAAAAATTATCGTCAATATTCTTAAAAAAACAAATGTTTTTCTTGGATTCACTTTTTACTTCTAACGGAGCACAAAATTCTTGTGTCATTACGGGCTCTGTCGACGAAGTATATCATCATTGATCGGTAGGTACTTTGGTAGAAGAATGTTACACCAACTTATTGTAGCTTATTTGGATACATTACACGCACCACCCGTTAGCATATCCAACAGTGACATTTATCATCGGAATCCTATAAAAAGTAAACCGGAACTAATCCCGACCCCAGTCACCCTCGCCTTTAATCTGCATATGCCAAGGAAAATAATTTCACGCCCTTGCCACATTGAAGAGATGCCCCTTTGTTGAGATTTTACGTAGGTAAATCGATTTTATTTATTTATTCTAGTACTTAGATATGTTGAAATCACACAGGTAGGCTTACACAGTATATAGTTTTCTTCTAATTTAATAATAGACAGAGAAGGTTCTTCATTTTAAAGTCATATATACTTAGCTATAGATACTTATTGGTGTTAGCTATGTTGATTTAATACTGTATTACCGTATTAGTTCCATTTTAATATTTTTAATTAATTAAAAATATTCCTTTTAGTTGGATATTTAAAAAAAATCATTACAATACTAGGCGTAAAGTATCAAGTGAAGGTTGTATGAGTAAATATTTATTTATGGCACATATAACATTATGATAATATCTAGTTATTCTAATGTCATAAAATATGGCAGGCATACAGAGTCACAATGTGTCTAGTCGATGACGGCGACGCCACGATACGACCGACGTTATTG